TTCCTCTGGTTGGACGAAGCCTAACTATAAGCACAGTCGTGTCCTCTCATGATAATTGCCCCATAACTAGTAGTCTCCGTCTGAAACTGTCTCTTTTTCTCTTTAACAAAATTCCTGGAGAGGGTTCTGGGAAAAGCAAGGGGAAACCATTTTAACTGTTTAAAGAACAATGCTCAAGTGTCTTCCAGCTGGAGCTATTGTCTTTAGGGTTTCGGAGAGGGAAAATTCTGTGACATGCATGGCCCCCTTTCCTTCAGAGGATAAATCAGCAAGATACTGGGTATATCTATCAGACCTAAAATCCTATGTATGCAAGTTACATATGACAGGACCTAAAAGCCTATGTATGCAATGGCTAGCCAAGCTTTACAAGGCATACTATACAATCTTCGTGATCTGCCTTCCTCTTCTATCTTTGGATAGATTCCTATTCCATGTCCCCACATGCTGTGTCCTTTCTGGAAGGAGGGCAGAAATAAGTCATAGAACCGATGCAGTAGACACCTTCGTAGATTCTGGTGGGGAAGATCAGGGAAGGACTCATATAAGCAATCAGACTGTATTTATCTCCTACAGTCCATACCCTGTGAAGATACTTTGGGGACTGCCAGGCCCTTGCTGGGGTGGGGCTAGGTCTGACGCAGCTGAACTATCTGAAAGGTATATCATTGCTTATATAACCTCTGCATCCAACGGGGGCTCAAAAGCACAGTCACAAGAAAAGCTTGAATCTGATCATTTGGGATGCCCTTTAAAGTTTCAACTCCCTCCTTCTGTGAGTCTAGCAATCAGGGTAGAGTGGGAAGCAGTGGAGCCTACGAAGAAGTTGAAGATCAGGCCCTGCCTTTGTATGAGGTCAAGGATAGCAAAGGGTTTATCAAAGTCATTCTCACATCTTCTGTGATAGTGAACATGAGTCAGGCATGCCTATTGGCACTCTGTAAATAGTGACTTGGATCTGCCAGGGGTAAAATGGCAGGGGAATATCCATGCATGCTATGTAGGCATTCTCCTGCAGACTCCTCTCCCACGCCACCCACTTTGTTAGAGAACAGTAACTAGGTCCCGTTTGACTCACTGTGCCAAATTGAGAAACCTAACCAAAAAACAGGGCAGAAAAAATGCAAATCTGTTGGGTGAGCGAGCACAATCTTCTGTCCTGTCTTTTCATCCTAGTTTTCCTCCTCCTTTCCCTGCATCGGACACTGGTCCCTACCCTTTCTCTTCTCCATGCTTGTTTAACTTAAAGGCACATGTTTACGAACTTGAAATGAACCCAGGAACCTTAGGCTGCAGTTCAATTTTTTCCTCCTTCTATCTCTTCCACACACAAGAAGGATACTGCTTGAATCTCTGTAGCCTCTAAAAGACCCTATATGATACAGATTCACTGGTGCCAGAGTTTGCAAGGTTCACTTATTACCCCCCAAAAGTTATTTTCCAATGCAAAATGTTACCTTCATCTAAACTGTCTAAACTGTAGATAAGGACCCTACACAGTAAAGCAGAAACATCTGATTAGAAGAGAATCCCCATTTCATTCAACAATACCCTCCCTGGTCTAGTATGAGAAGCTAGTCAAAGAAATTAACCGTGGTGAGGTCAAAGGACCACTCCCTCATGGTCATCTTCTTTCATTTGTCATGACTTCAGTAATACTACCAGAGCATATGGAAAAATCATAAACTACCTCCTAAAACTTGCGATAATCAATACAATTGGCTTTAACTGCTCTTTTTGGCACTTGATTATCAATAGAAAACCACTTAATTATCCACTTTTTGTCATTTGATTATCAACAGATAGCTATACAAGTCTCACTAAATCAGGCAGCTGAATTCTGGACATCTGCGATGATTTTCCCAACCTGATCATTCCTGGGTCTAAAAGTCTGTCCATGGCAAATGGAAAGCAAGCTTTCCTATCCCACACCTCCCGCCAATCACCCTTTCTCAATGTCCTTCATCTCCCTGATAGCCTTACCTTTCCCAAGCAGGCGCAACACATCATCCCAACCAAAACTACTTTTGTATTTCCCCAGCACCAAAGGAGGTTTGCTGCCATTTTCTATCATGGCTCTGGGCTCGTCTGTCTTTCACAAACCTAAGTTATTCAGTTACCAAAACAGTCTTTCCCCACCTCCTTGGGCCCAGACTTCATTAATGTATACCTGAAATCCAGTCATCATGGAGGACTTCATGGCATGGAAAACATGACTGGAGTTAGAGGCTGAGAAGACTAGATTAGATATACCCCTAAAGGTTATTAATCCATGTTTCTCACATCCTGTAGTTCTCCCCCCAAAATCAAGATATTCTCTAGGTCGCGGTAAATAAACAGCATGATGGACTGAAGCAAGCCACTGGATGCACTAGAGTCGGGTTTCTGTAGCCTTCCCTGACCATCTCCCAGTGTGTCTGTGATAGGCTGAGGAAGTAAGGGATGAGAAGCACACATTGCACAGCGCCATCAGATGCAAGTGAAACAGCCATCTTCCGGACTACATAGCAGTTCTGGTGAAAAGAGTGCCAGGGCTAGGACAATGGGTTCCCTACCAAACCATCATAGTACCATTTAAGGACTGCCCACTTCAAATTCATTTTAGACCTAGGGATGCTCAGGAAAGGCGAGTGGTACTCCCAGGATTCCAAAGCAACGAATGACAAGGCAAGGATTATAATCCAGATAGTTTTCATTTGCTAGTTCAACTCTATTTCTAGCCCAAAGCCACCAGTGAATGCAGACTTTTGGGGAGACAGCTGGATTATTCTAAAGCATAAAGGAAGCACACTAAAGTAGAAAAAAAAAGAGAGAATGGAATTAATGAAATATCTCATGAAATAAAAATGCATTAAAGTATAAAAATGAAAATGGGATTAATGAAACATAGCTTGCTAAGAAAAAAAAATACAAAACAGCCAAACATTAACTGGAAAAAAAAAAAACACCCCCTTTATGTAACATCTTAGCTAACCCAGTTATACCTGGCTTTTACTCTTAGGAGCCAGGCTGTTTGAAAGCAATGGGTAAAGTGATTTTACCTCCTGCATATCCGTGCATGTAATAATGAACCTTCATATAATAGGGGCTAAGTGTGCATTCAGCAGAAAGGGAATCATTAAAAGGCACCCTGCCTCTCCACACGCGAGGCACTTCCTTCACAGTGTGGCCAAGAAAACCCTCATCTACCCCCAAATAATCCCCACGCCAGACCACAAATTGCTGGCTGCCCCATGCTTAGTAACACCCCCTGCCATGCTCCTATGGGCTCAGAAAACAGTTCAGGACCACAGCAGCAAGCACTCTCAGAGGTGTCTGGCAGGTTGGGTCAGCCTGGACAAAACTGAAAAATGACCTCTCCAGGGCAGGTTGTCTAGGCCGACTGAAAATTCTGTGGGCGGCCCGAGGAGGAAAAGAAAGGGAGGAACTGCCAGACTACCGTGGGCTGCACATCCCATTGTGACCTTGGTAGAAAGAGGGGAAGAGGAGGAGTTCGATTAGAAGAAATTCTTCAAGGCTAGGATACCCGTCTTTCCAGTGGGGCCGTTTGATTTTTTTAAAAAGTAGTTTGCTCCAGAGAACACCCAGGGAAGTGTTGGGGGGGGGAGGTGAGGGGTACAGTACAAAGGCATCTATCTCAGTCTGGTTACAAATACTGGATGAAGAGCGCCTGGTTTGGGGAGGCTAAAGGTCCTCTCGAGGTCCCTGCCAATACCCCCCCCCAAATGTTACCTCAATACACCTCAGAGAGCCGGAGCTGACTGACTCACACCCGAGCAACATAAAGCGTTGCCCCAACACCTGAAGAACGTCCACACAAGTTAGTTAGTAAGCCATTCCAACGCATGGAGAAAGCAACATGGGTTATGATGGAGGAGGGGGCAGTAGTCCCCACAGCCCAGGTACTACGTTAACTACACGGAAAAACAGAATCCCTATAGTCACATTTGTTACCTTAAAAAAGCTACGTCTTTCTACCTCCCGCCAAAACCGCCATCTACAATCTCAACTGCAGTTTGCGTGGTTTGGAAGAGCGCGAGAGAGAGCTGAGTGTGCAAAGAAACTAAAACAACAGCAAAAATGGGCTAAAGTTCAGGAAGTCCCTCCACCTGGCAATCTAGTGCTTCAAGGTGAGTCGTCTTACAAGTCACTCTTCCAGTAACTGCCCCAACTGCCCCCCTCCTCCACCCTCACTTCCCCCACTCAAGACGCCTGGGTTTGGAGGTTCCAGAGCTCTTGGGGGGAGCTTCTCTCCCCTGGCCTCTAGCTGCAACTTAGTTCCAGCTGATCACAGGCTCCTAAATCAAACCAACCCTAGTGGCCACTTCAGCACAGCTCTGCTCCACGGCACAAAAGTTCTCTCCACACTTCTCAGCGCGCAAGAAATCGCGCCGGCGCGGGGCAGTACTCAGGAGGGAGGAAAAGGCCGAGTGAAACCGGCAGCAAGCAACGCCCCGGCGCTGAACACGGGGTGTGTGTGCGTCCGGCTGCGGGACAAGAGACTGAGAAAAGTCAGCAATGCCTCATCCCCCTAGCTCTGCGCCAGACCCTAGCCCAGCAACCTGCCTCGGGCAGGACAGCCCCAGGGAGAGCAGGGAGAGCTAGCGCCGAGCCCCACCGCCCGAGCCCTCAGCCCCTCGCTGTCCTGCGGGGCGCAGGGGCCTCCGAAACAAGGAGAACCCCCAGCAGCCGCCATTTCCTGCAGCCCACACGGAGGTGAGTGGCCTCCTCGTCGTGGGGGGAGCCGGGCTGCCCCAGTGCCCTGCGAGTGGAACTGCGCGCACAGCTCAGGCAGGGCCGGGTGGCTCAGGTCCCATCCTCCAGCCACACTGAGCTGCAGCCCGCTCCCGCAGCACGATCCCCCTCCGTGCGCCTACAGCCCCTCGGACTCCGGCCGGCCAAGTCGCCAAGTGGGGCTGAGGCCCGCACCGGCGCACTCTTGCGCACCCGCTAGCCCATTCAAAGTTGGACGCCGTGAGGAGCGAGCCAGCGCTCCTTACCTTCGACACCGTGAGCGGCTCGCAGTGCTCCAAGCCCCCCTTCAGGGTGAAGCCCCAGGGCGCCCCCCCTTGCAGCTGCACCGGGACGTACTGGAAGGACCCCGGCCGGTTCTCCATCCTCGGCTCGGCTGGCCAGGCGCCGCCGGGCTCCTTTTCCGCGGGGGCTACCGAGCCTCCGCCCCCAGCAGCTCAGCCACCATCGTCCTCCAGCGCCGCGCCGCCCCGCTCCGCCTACTCTCCCGGCTGGAGACGCTCAGGCAGCTAGTGAGCCCTAGGAGGAAATGACACGGAGCTGGAGAGAGGGGGGAGGGGGAAGAGAAGGGGGAAAAAGAAAAGAAGGAAAGAGAGGCGGAGGGATGGTGCTTAATGGACAAGAAAACGGAGCAATAGGGAGGGGCAGTCTCTGGGACCTCGCCTATAGGATCGCTGAGGAGTGGGAGCAAGGCGAGGCCTCACATCAATTGTTACATTGTTTCATTCAAGTAGGCCCCCTCTTTGGTCCTCCTCTTTACTGCGGAGCTACCCGCCCCTCCTTCAGTCCAAGCAAACCGAGGTGAAAGTCAGTGTGCATGGCCCTCGTGGCCTAGTACACTTTTCTGATTAGCGCCTTCAAGTTTTTGAGTGCCTTTTCTTCAAAAGTTCCTGAGACCCAGGTCCTGGAGCGGGGGAGGGGGCTTACAAGACTGCTAATCTGTACCTTGCCTACAGGGGTGGAAAGGAAAGGACACTCAGAACCAGCAAATATAGTGGGGTTGTGCGTGTAGGCTGCTCCATGGACACACTAGTTGTGTGGAGTCATGATGGAACATTGCCTAGGAGCATAGTTTAAATAAAGGAACACTGAGGATGTCCCTGCTTGGTTATAAGCTAGCTCCCTGCTGGTGTCTATGGGAGTCCTGTGAGAGTCCCAGTCATCCAGGACTCCTGGCACTGCCTTGCACTTGCCCCACAGAGATGACCAAGCCAAGGATCTGCAAAGTTATGCCTAGCAGAAAACAAGCCTCTAAGAAAGAGCATCCATTGATAAGATAGCCAATTCACGATTCACGATTCACGATGTGCCTTTTGGAAGAATCAGCTTTTACACGGGGCCTAAAACTATCCAATCATCTGTTCTTAGCTGAACTTATTTCTCTGACCTTTAGAACAGGCGTAAGAGCTACAGGAACAGTCCTGAGAGATGAATGTGGTACTTCATCTGAAGCTGATCTCTCCGCCTTGACCTAAGCAGTTTATCTCCCCTCTCAGGGTGTTTTCTCGGCAGCCACAAGTGGGAAGTCACTTTCTAAAGAGCTTCACACTAGCAGGGAAAGTGTTGACAAGTCAACGCTGAATCAACAGGGCATTCTTACTTTGTCTGATCCCTTTAAAAGAAATTTAGCACTAAGGATAGAGCCTGGGGCCTTGTTCATGACAAGCAAGTGTTCTACCTTTAGATATTTCCCTTTACCCCTCTTTTTATATTCATGTTTTTGATACTAGGACTTAAAACATTAATGTTTTTGATGCTAGGAATTGGAACAACTTGTTGATATGTGTGTACATGCAGTCGTACAGCACCAGGGATCAAACCCAGGGCCTTGTAAGAGTGCTAGACAATCACTCTTAGCACTGAATTAACTTAGTACAGCTCAGTAGGTCCCAGTGTTAGCATTTAGAAATCTGTAAACTTCAGTCTGCAGGATGAATGATCATTACCCAAGAACTACTAGACTTTTGTGTCTAAGACTTGAAGGTATTTGTAAACAGGAGACGTGCTTCTGAACCTTGGCCTTGTCACTAATTAGAGAGGTGGCCTTGAAGAAATCACTGAGCCAAGTCTTGGCCATCTTATTTTCTTCATCTGTAAACTTTTGCTAACAAGTTCTGACTTTGCTGCCTCTGAGACCTACTGAGAGACTAAGATGAAATAATACATATGAAAACACTTTGGAAAGGAAAAAAAAAAGTAAAAATCCCCTCAACCTTAATATGAAACAAGGCTCTGAGCTAGCCTTGAACCAAACTATTTTCCTTCCAAGCCATACTCCATAGTGCTGGTGGGTTCTTTATCTCCTTTTTATCACTAAAGGAGAAGAAGTTGAATTACTGCATTCTTTGCATAAACAATACAGAAATAATAGACATCTTGTACATATAATGGAGACGTCTTTCTGCTTTTTTGGAAAAAAAACACTACTCTTTCATTTTTACATTTTTTATAGTCTTACTTTAAAAGTGGAGGGCTGGACTTGAACTCACAGTTCTGCATAGCTGGAAGAGTAAGAATGTACCACCATGCCTGATGTGAGAAAACTGGTTATACCATTAGTTAGCAAAGTGGTATTAACCACGTCACTTTTCTCTACTATAAAATCCTAAGGGTTGAGCTACTTGCCTTTTTGGGTTCGTCTGTAATTTACAAACTCTGTGATTACTTCCTAACTACGGTTTGAACATTATACGTGCACACACACATGCATGCACGCACGCATGCAAACAAAGATTTGATGAGATAACTCAAATAAGAATACAGCAATAGAGAACAGCTGCCAGGTGTATTCTTGCACACACAATGGAACCATAACACAGATGATGACTTCACTCTATGTTAAATTGCCTGTGTACACAAAAAAGTTGAAACTCCAATGCAGGTAGAAACAGAAAATTGCATATCAACAGAGGAGTGGTGACTGGCAATAACATTAAACTAAGAAGAAAAGGGGGATGAATGTGGAATCCTATGTCATGCTAATAGTTAAAAGTATTATGCTAGGGGTTAAAGACATAGCTCAGTGTGAAGAATGCTTAACGCTCTTGCAGAGGATCCAAGTTCAGTTCCCAGCACCCACGTCTGGCAGCTTATAACCACCTGTAACTCTACCTCCAGGAAGATTCCCCACCTCTGGCCATCATAGGCACCTGCACACAATATTAAAAATAATGACCTTTTTAATAAGCATCATGCTAAAATGTAAAAGTCAAGGAGGACAACAAAGTATCTAAAATAGAACAGCTAGAACAGGCCAGGCTAAGTGGTTCCACCCCTTTGACCTGCACAAGAGCTATACAGGATCAAGCCTGACAACATTCCGGCAAGGAGAGTGGGAGGGGACCGAGCCCCTTCCCCTAATGGAGGGGCTGTTAATTGGTGATGGCTGCTGGGGGAGGGAGAGTCAGTTTTCCTTAAGGGTGTGGCCCCTGGCAGTCTCACTATGCTCCAGTGGATGGGCCCACACCCCTGAAGATATCGACAGCACAATCTGGACCTAATGGGTTACTAAAGAAGGCACAAAACTGAGTTGGGAATGGATTTCTGAATAGTTTGGGGGCGGTGGGAATGAAATGCTCAAAATGCATTGTATGCATATGTGAAATAATTTTAGTACATAGATTAAAGTCTTCTTTTCATTTACACTTTATTCATCAGTTTACCTTCTGGGAAGGAAGAAGACTAAAATCGTGGCTCTGTGAGCTTTTTTGAAACTTCCGATTATAAACTAGTGCCTCAATAAAGTTTTTCTCATCACAGTACTAGTCTCTTGTCTCTTTCTGAACCAAGGGCCTTTCAAGAGGCTTCACCGACCTCTGCACTTTCTATCTCAAAACTGGGAGGAGAGGAGGGAGAGTAAACTGTGGCTGGGATGTAAAATAGAGAAATAAATAAGAAATGAAGGTTAAAAAAATCCCTCCATATAAAGTTGGAGGTGTGCCACAGCGATAGAGCACTAGGCAACAGGTGAGTGTGATGTGGGTCCTGCTGGAGAAACTGAAAGGAGGGGAGGAAGGGAAATAGGCAAGGAGGTTGGAGAAGTGTCCTGAGACAATGTCCTTAGTCATCTGTATATTGTAGTTTTCTTTTTGCAGGACAAGGGGAATCTGTGTCCTCCATTTCACTCTCATACCATTTCCATGGGGCAAGACTTTTGATAAAATAGCGTGCATTCTCTCTCTCTCCTCTTTCATGTGATAGGGGCATTTTTACATGCATATGGCTAAAAGGAACCACCAAGAAACCAATGATGACAATTTTCCTACTTCCTATTTCCCAAAATGATTTGTAACCATTATAAATTGCTATTTTTTCATCTTTTCTCTGTGTCTATCAATTGGTTCTCAATTTGGGAGTGGAAGGAAAAGAATTTGTCATTTACCACTCCCCCCAAATGTGTCTACCCAACCCATATCTATATTACAGGCGTCTGTCTTCTGCATGAGGGTCCATATTGCCTTCTGAGCATCTATGTGCATCTGTTTCCAAATGCACCCACAATTTCTTCTGTCCCTATGTTGATGTAACAGGGAGTATGGGTAGCCCAACCTCCATGTCACTCTAAAGAGACTGAGCTGGACATGTATGTTGAGAGATCTAGGGTGGACAGAACGGGAATGAAAGCATGTCTCCTGACCTTAGATCCAAGGACAATAATCACAGAATCTTAATGATTTTTGTTAAAGAACCTTGGTAATAGCCATCTCTTTCTTTTAACACTGCCAGCACGGGAAAGGGAAGAAAGTATGACCTCAGAGAAGAAGTAAAAAAGAAGCCAGACCTACATAATCTATAGTGAAGAACAAAAATGAGCCCTTTCTCGCCTGTAAATAGCACAGAAAGCGTTACCTTTGAGCAAATTTTTACATTAAAGCAATCTAACCTGTGTTTTGTGACTGTTATCTAATGTTCTGTGGACACAGTACTTGGTGAATTTTGTCAACTCCTTGGGAAAAAACAAAGTAAGACAGAATGATGGTTACCATTTGACACATGAAACTCAAGGCAGAGATGGTTCACTACTTTGTTAGTTATATCTCTCCAATGCTACCTCAAAATTTCCAGTGTTGGTGGCCAAAGACTATCCCTAGGTCACTTGTCTCTTAGGCAAAAGGGAGCACAGAGAACATTTTTTAGCAAAACAAATCTTATCAGGAGTAAAATCGCAAGGTGTTTTGTAAGTTGTTTTTGGTTCTGGAACTAGACAGGGCCAGGTTGGGGGCTGGAGCCTCATGCGGGCTATTTATTGTACTCAGATTCTAGGGTCCTTTCTTTCATGTATTTTCTCTGCCTCTTCTGGAAGTTTCTGAGAGAGAGAGAGAGAGAGAGAGAGAGAGAGAGAGAGAGAGAGAGAGAGAGAGAGAGATCTAGGGCGGTGATAATTGTCAGTGGAAAGGGAAGTAGTCTGACGTTGCAGGTATTATTCATATACAGGTTATGAAAGCAGCAAACTCCTTTTAAATTATTTATTAGCTGAGAGTGTAAG